TGTTGTACTTCAAGATGGATCTAGAAATTACTTTTTTTACTATAAAGGCAACCCCATTTTTCCTAGTCTTTTCATCTCTGGAGTAATATATCATATGGTCATGTAATGACCACTTAAACTTCTGTTTAATTAGAAATATATAGAGATTCAGACACTATCTTTCTCCTACAGAGCTGCTGGTGGAATTAAACCAGGAGTTTTTTGAATGAGGACCCTACAGCTTAACCACTAACTCACTAAAAATAGAGGCTAAAGAAAAAATAATTTAAAAAAAAGATAAATAATGCCTCTAACTTGTGATGTTGGTGAAGAATATTGAATATTCCATTAACTGTCAGAAAATCCCATTTATCAGGGTGTTTCTTAGAAGGATGGTGAGTGTAGTATATACTGGGTATAGTATCAGGAGAGAGCAGTCTTTGGACAAGGACATAAAGCTTGCAGGAGTAGAGGGTCAGCAAAAAAGCAGGTAGACCCTCAGTGACATGGTGTACTACCATGTAAACGGTGAGCTTAAGCATGGGTGGTATAAGATTGGGCAGTGTTTTGTTCTCTTCTATATAAGGCAAGTGCTTGTATGGGAATCAGAAACAGCTTTCTGGAATTTGACAACACTGTTGGGCATGTCATTAATGGTGTTTGATGATAGAAATGTTTATTTTTTCAAGATCTTGTTTGATTTATGTTTTAGCAAGCCATAATGTTGTGAATATATATATATATATATATATATATATATGTGTGTGTGTGTGTGTATATAATCTTATATCTTTAGTGGAATCAAATTATAAGACATTGGTTAAAAGCTCCCAGAATGTTGGGTGTATTTCTAAGAGAAAAGCAGTATTTGGAAGTAATCATTGTGGCTGTTGAATAATGCTAGTTGATTTTTGATAGAGACATTCAGTTTTCATACTTAACAAGACAGAGATTGTGATTTATCAAAAAATGTTAGAGGATAACGTTAGGAGCTATAATCCAAAAGAGAGATTAGCATTAATCTGTTTATTAAAGATTTATCGAGTAATTAATAAGTACCTGTTTTTGGCCATTTTCTGAGGTGTACTGTCATAAATGCACTAAGAAGGGAAGCCACAGAAGCTTCTATTTTTGCCATGAAATAGAGAAAATACATACATAAATATATACATATGTTTTTCTTTCTCTAAAGTACTCAAGAGCAACAGCATCTCTCTGGAGACTAAGCTGCGCCTGATACAGGCCATGGTCTTTGCAATCACTTGTTATTCATCAGAGAGTTGGACAATGACTAGGGAGGACAGAAGGAGAGTGGATGCTTTTGAGATGTGGTGCTGGAGAAGGGTACTGAATGTACCATGGACTGCCAGGAAAACAAACAGATTCATCTTGGAGAGGATTA